GAAAGCAGTAGAGGACAGCCCAAAGCCTTGGGACCCTGCACCCGCGTGGGAGACCTGGAAGAAGCTCCTGGCTCCTGGCTTCTCGCTTCCGACCTGCTCAGCTCTGGACATTATGGCCATTTGGGGAGCGGACCAGTAAATGAAAGATCTTTATGTCTCTCCTCTGTAAATCTGCCTTTCCAATAAATTAACTAAAATAATTTATTTAAAAAAAAAACTCAGAAAAATGTCTGTTAGACACCAACCCTCCCTTCCTACTAGAACGGATCTGGCACGTGGTAACGTAAATGGCGGAATGTGACATACTGCACGGTTTCAGGCCTTTTTCACAAGTGCCATTTTCCACCCTGCTCTGGATCTGTCCCCAACTGCAGCGATTTACACCCAGGCTTTTATCTCTGGGAGTTGGCGGGGTCATTCAAATCACCGAATTCCGTAAGGACCATGGAGATGACTACCGAGGAGTTGGACTTCGGGAAGCGGGTCTTCCCTTAGGGGAAGGGGTCATTCTGACGCGGGGCTGCAGGTGCAGAGGGGGCAAGTACCGTTTCCTTCCTGCGGACTGCAGGTGCAGTCGGCCCCGAGCTCCGCAGACACCTCCACCGCCCTCTGCAACAGGTAGCGCGCTCGCTTGCGCGTCAGGGCGTCCTCCGCCTGGCCCAGCCCCGCCTGCACGGTCCTCCAGAAACGCCAGCAGCGCCGGGCATCCGGCCCCTCATCGGGCGCGCAGGGGGTGCGCCCGGCGCCCGGCTCAGGCAGCAGCTTCTCGGCCAGGGCGCTCAGCATCAGCAGCTTCGGCCCGACGCGATCCGTTCCAGGAGACGGCACCGGCGCGGCCAGCCCGGCCCACACGGCCCGCAGAGCCGCCCCACCGCACTGGGCCAGCGCCGGCAGCAGTCGGCAAGCCACGAGCGCCGCCGCCTCCTCGGCGAGCCCGGCCTCCTCCTCCTCCTCCTCGTCTCCGCCCAGCGCCAGGGCGACGGAGGCTCGTGCCACCCGCTCGAGCAGCGGCCCGTCCTCGCGGGGCCGCAGACAGGGTCCCACGGCTGCCAGCACCTCCACGGCCGCCTCGGGGTCCGGGGCGCGCAGGTCCCGCAGCGCCTCCTCCGCCAGCGCGGCCGCCAGCGCGGGGCCTCCGGCGAGGCGGGCGCACGAGCGCAGGGCCGCGCCCGCCGCCCTCAGCACCCGGCTGCGGTGGCGAGGCTGCTGCGAGCCGGCGTCCGGGCAGCCCGCGGGGCGCCCGCCGCGCGCGTCCCTCAGCAGCGGCACGAGGTAGCCCACGGCGACCTCGCGCGCCGCCTCTGCGAGCGCGCCGCCGCCGCCACGCGCCGCCTCATCCTCCAGCCGCTGCAGGAGGAAGCGCAGCGTCTCCACGCGCTCGGCGGACGCCTCGCCGCGGCACAGCGCCCCGAGCAGGACCCGCGGATCCCGGCTCTGCGAGAGCAGCGCCTCCGTGAGCACCCACTCCATGAACCGCGCGCGCGCTGCCGGCTCCCGGCTGCCAGAGGAAGGCGCAGGCGTGCGCGGGGGGCGTGCGCGCGCACCTGCCCGGCCGGCGCGTGCGTGCGCGTGCACCTGGAGGAGAGTGACCGCCTGGCTCCTTGCTTTACCCCAGAGCATCTTGGGCTCAGCACCGCCAGGAGCCTTCCTGATCCCTGTTGCCACTGCGTTGCTTACACTTTTTAGAGAGAGAAAGCTCTCGTAAAATGCTAATGGGGCGAACTCCGTCGTTGTGTGATTGGGGTTGAAGCAGTCAGGCGTGCCTGAGGGCACCTAGGCGGTGTACATCCAGTTACCTGCAAGTTGTTTTCAGAAAGCTGCACTCTGGACACCACCCAGAAACAGGCTGTCCCTGACGTGGATTCTGGACAACCTCATGAAATACGAATAATGACAATTCAAGGAAAATTGAGTGGCAGGGCCAACGGTGAATGCTGTCTAACAACAGCTGTGTGTTGAGAAAGCAAGATGCCCACGTGAGCTGTCACAGCCACGGGCTGCAGAACTTCCTCATCGCATGCATGTGCTCGTTGTGCATACTCAGCAGTAGTCCGTGGGCGTGTGCCTTTGTGACAGCATCTGCTACCGAGCCTGGCAGCAGCAAAGCTGCCTTAGAGTGCAGTGTTCCTTACTGGGTTCCCGGCCCAACACCAGGCACATTGAATCAGTGATGTGGGTTTTCTATTGGTGAAATATGGACCTTGTCAAAGGGGAAAACACAGTCCCTCCTTCCAAGAATTTGACAGGTAGTAAGCATAACAGATAAAAAAGAAATGGGTTGTTAAAGTTATTTCATGTAAGGTTACTTGAACTTCAAGTTAGCTGCCGTTACTTCAAACAAAACTTTGCCCATATGTCATTCATTCTGTTTCCACTAACAAAATGCATAAGGGATTCTATTTTAAGTCCGTTTAGAATGTCAGCAAATATCAATAGCTTTCAACAGAATATGCCAATAAATATTCACTTCAGCATGTGTTAATCAAGCATAAATGGGCAAAAGTCTTAGCAGTTGGGCAAAGAAAGCACTCGAAAGGGTGTCAGCACCACTAGAAAATGCAAATTCAAGCCATCGCGAGACATCACTTCACACTCAGAAGAATGGCTTAAGTTGAAAAGATGGAAGACACCAAATGGCAATGAGCAAAGGTGTGAGCTCTCATCAGTCGCCGGCGAGCAAATCGTACAATCACTTTGGAAAACTTCTTCAGGAAGTCAAACTATTCCTACCTACTTTATAATTTCACTACTACTCTTGGATTCTGCCAAAAATAAATGAAAACTGTAAGATTCGCCGACCACCAGGGAAGGAACACATCGGCCACGTATAGAAAGAGTTTAGATGGCCTTTATTCAGAGAACTTTGGTCACAGGCTTCCCTTCCCTGTGTAGCAGAAAGACGTGAAGCAAAGGGCTACAGAGGAAGAAGAGCTAGGGAGAGATGTGCAGGGGGTAGTTTAAAACCCCCCTGGCATGGAAGCAGAAGTGGGGGTCACTTCGGCCCTTATCTGGTGGGGAATATTGGCTTGTGTCCATCAATGATGCAGCAGTGACCCGTTGCCTGCGGGGCATGCCAGAATTCCTACCTTCCTTACAGGTCAAAGTGAGCCTCTGGCCTCCTCTGTTACCATGGCAACTGTCAAAAACATGCTAACAAAAAGGCTTATAAAAACAAGGTTTTGCAGCATTCGTTATTATATCCTAAAGCTTTTTTTTTAAAAAGATTTGTTTATTTTTTTTATTACAAAATAGGTTATACAGAGAGGAGGAGAGACAGAGAGGAAGATCTTCCATCCATTGATTCACTCCCCAAGTGAGCACAACGGCTGGTGCTGCACCGATCTGGAGCCAGGAGCCAGGAACTTCCTCCAGATCTCCCATGTGAGTGCAGAGTCCCAAAGCTCTGGGCCGTCCTCAACTGCTTTCCCAGGCCACAAGCAGTGAGCTGGATGGGAAGCAGGGCTGCTGGGATTAGAACCGGCACCCATATGGGATCCCGGTGCGTTCAAAGTGAGGACTTTAGCCACTAGGCCACGCCACCGGGCCTATCCTAAAGGTTTTAACAAGCTAAGGTGTATCAATAGCAAGTGGACAAATTGCATCTATGCATACTGCAATGCAATGAAGGAGAATGGTAATTGCCAATTACCAATGAATTGGTAATCATTTAATAATGAATTGGTAACAAATCTAAATTCTGCAGGTGTGAGAGCTCCCATACCATGTTGTCAGTGAGCTGTGCTCTGTGGGCCACAAGGCAGGAGCACACAAGCCAAGCCATTATTCCGCATTAGCCATTTTCAAAAGTGAGAAGAAATGCTGAAAACAGTGAATACATCTAAAAAAAAACATATTGACCAGAAGAAGCCACACATAAAGTTTGTGTCTTCATGTTTCTATTATAGGAAATTTAAGAACAGACTAAATCTGTGGGATAGAAGTGGGAAGCATTGTTGGCTATAGGGGAAGTCCAGAAAGGGGCACAGGAGAACCTTCTGGAGGGATGGAAATGTTTTATCTTGATCAAGGAGTTTAGTTGCACAAGTTTCACATTTGTCAGAACTCCTTGAATCCTTATGATGTATGCATTTCACTGTTTTCAGCATTTCTTCTCACTTTTGAAAATGGCTAATGCAGAGTAATGGCTTGGCCTGTGTGCTGCTGCCTTGTGGCCCACAGAGCACAGCCCAGTGGCAGAACGTGGTGTGGGAGCTCTCACACCTGCAGAATCGGGGCCAGGCAGATCCCCTGGCTCCCTCCTCTGCCCTGTGTTCCTGCACTGTGAACCTCTCTCTAGCCACACTGCCTCCTCTGCCTGCAGGCTTCCCATGGTCACCCCTTTCCTGGGTCACCAGGACAGACGTGTTGGGTTGAGTTTTCTTTGTGCTTACCTTCCTTGATACTGTTATTTCCACTGGATCCATGCGCTAGCTTCCTCCTGCTTTTTTCTTGCCTTTTCACTCCTCTACCTGCTGGTTCTCCATCTCTTGAACTTTCCCTTTTGCCTGGTAAAAAAACAATCCTTTATCTCCATCTCAGGATCTGTTCTGAGACCTATGCTCAGACAATAGCTCCAAAGCCATCTATCCAACTTCCAGCAGGCGAGAGTCTGTTAAAAGAGTCATTCTGGAAGCTTGGCATGATGACCTAGGGCTAAAATCCTCGCCTTGAATGCACCGGGATCCCATATGGGCGCTGATTCTAATCCCTGCAGCCCTGATTCTCATCCAGCTCCCTGCTTGTGGCCTGGGAAAGCAGTCGAGGACGGCCCAAAGTCTTGCAACCCTGCACCCATATAGAAGACCTGGAAGAAGCTCCAGGTTCCTGGCTTCAGATTGACTCAGCTCCAGCTGTTGCTGCCGCTTGGGGAGTGAATCAATGGATGGAAGATCTTCCTCTCTGTCTCTCCTCCTCTCTGTATATCTGCCTTTAATTAAAAATAAATAAATCTTTAAAAAAGAGAGAGAAAGTCATTCTGGGCCGCTCCTGGTGCTGCCTGTGTGCTTGTTCAGTATGGACCTGGTACCTCTTTTGTGAAGCGGCAGCTGAGGCCATGGCCGAGGAAGAAACCAAGACCAAGAACAATGATCATGTTAATTTGAAGATGGCGGGACAGGATGGTTCTGTCATGCAATTTAAAATTAAAAAGCATACATCACTCAGTGAATTAATGAAAGCCTATTATGAACGACAGGGTTTGTCAATGAGACAAATCAGATTCCGATGTGACAGACAGCCAATCAATGAATCAGACACACCCGCACAGTGGGAAATGGAGGATGAAGACACAGTTGAGGTGTCCCAACAGCAGACAGGAGGTATCTATTAAAGGGAACCTGCTACGTTCCTCCAGAACTCTTTTTGCTTAGACCCAGAGTACATTCTCAATTAGAAAATGGCAGTTGGGTTCCATCACATCCTGACCACTACAGTACAGTTTCTCTATTTTTCATTGTCCTCTTCCCCAATTCCTTTATTGAACATAACATAACTGGGGTATGTGCACAAGTGTATTGCAGTTTTTCTCTCTCTCTCTCTTTTTTACTAAATGGCCAATAGTTTGTTTTGATTGATGTCAGATGGAGATGGGATGGGGAAATATACTGGTTCCGTGACAATGCCCGTTCTCCACTAGTGGCATGCTCATTCAGCCCTCATCTTTATATTCCAGTAAGTTATTTTGCTCTCACTGTTTTAACAAAAAAAAACCCAATAACATAAAAATCCTTGCATATTTTGATTGGAGAATTTTAATGTTTTTCATTTATCATTGTAAACCAGGGACAATTTTATAACTTTTGTATGTAGCTGTTACATGTAGGACAATCTGTGTGTAAGTAGGGATAAATTACTCTTAAAAAAGTGAATCCTAGATAGTTTTCCCTTCTAATCAAGCATCTTGTTGTTTAAATAAACTTCTTGTTTAAAAAAGAAAGTCATTCTGAGCATTATTCCTGGCCTCCACTTTCCCTGCCTCCCTGTCTAACATTGTGGCCATCATTCCTAGTTGCTCTATCCCAGCACGGAAATCCAACAGACTTCATATTCTTTTCCTTGATTCTCATGTACAGTCACTCCTCAACACTACCCATGCAACTTCCCAAATCTCTTAGTAGCCATAGTGTAGTTTTAGAACTTCTTCAATTTTTATTAAGATAACAATAGGTTACCTGACTCAAGTCCCATTCTAATATAGATGGTCATATTGTTGCCAAAATGATTCTCCTAAAGTTGAACCATCAGATACCCATAATCTTTAGATAGTGTTTGCATTTCTTAGCTTGTCACCCAAAATATCCCTGCTTGTTTCTGCAGTCTTGTCCTCCTTCATGACCCAGAAACACCTTGACTGTGAGATCACTAAAGCATGTCCTACACTCGCTGTCCTTTGTCTTTGTAAATGCCCTTCCTCTGAAAAAATTCTCCTTCTCTCTTCACTTTAATTCTTTTCCTTTGAAGGCTCAGCTCAAATGCCTGCTCTAGAAAGTCACTCCTTAAGAAAAAGAAAGATTTTAAAAACATTTATTTGAAAACAGTTACAGAGAATGAGAAGAGGCAGAGAGGTTGTCACCCAGTGGCTCACTCCCCACATGGCTGTGACAGACCAAAGCCAGGGTCCAGGAGCTTCCCCTGGGTTTCCCATATGCATGCAGGGGCCAAAGATTTGAACCATGCTCTGCTGCTTTCCCATGCCGGAGTCCAGCTTCAGCTGAGTTTGGAACTCAAGAAGGGTGAATGGATGAGGCGTAAAGAGGAAAGAAATGGACCACTACGATTTCATGATCATAATGGACAATGCGGGGGGTGGGGGGGGGGGGAAGCTGTCCGCTTTATTTATACAGAAACAGTTAAACTCCCGGCTCAGACTTTCTATGTCATGGTTAAGTGGGTGTTTCTAAGGATAACTCTGCCATTTGTTTTATCTAAAAACAATAGAAGTTCCTACTACAATTCTTATTCTACAACTTAATCTTGTATCATAAAGAAAAGGAGAACCTAAAGATCAAGGAAAGAATGAAAGCCTAAATATAGATGCCTTGATTAGCATAAGGTCAATGGGGACAGCCAGGACAGTAGGAATAATAGAAGGCTTTTTTGCAAGAAGTTATTATTGACATTAACCTCCAAGCTCACATTGAGTAAAAAAGCCAACTCCACGGTAGCAAACAATGCCTGAATGGCTTAGAGTTCTTCCACAGGGTGGTCCAGTGTCCATGCAAAGGAAGATGGAGCTGCATTCAGGTGGTTGTAGAGACATCCGCTGGGCCCTGCCATACAGCGGGAAGTTCCTTGCAGCCTTGCCTGCAATGAAACAATACTCTTCACACCTTCGCGTCCCCCCACATCCACTGCACGGACCCCATCTTTCCCAGGCTACAAGCAGGGAGCTGGATCAAAATTGGGACAGTTGGGACTTTCATCAGTATCCATAAGAGGATGCTAGTCCTGCACGCAGTGGCTTTACACACTCCACTACAGTGCTAGGCCCTAGAAAGTCACTCCTCAGCATCTCAGTCCCACCATCAACAGCTCATGTAAGTTGGGCCCTCTTCTAAAACCTTCAGACCCCTGGCATATCAGTCGTATGGCAGTTGTCACGCTGAGTAGTCTTTGCAGGTGACTTCTCAGACTTTTTCTTGCCGTCCTCTCTTCCTTCCATGAGCAAATTTTAGGGCAGAGTGGGCATTATGAGATAAAGTCTATCACTTTACAAACGCAAGTACCTGCACCTCCAGCCACATCATACTCAGGAAATGCTTGCTGCTGTCATCATCCTCTCTATTTCTCCAGAAAGACCCAGACTGTCAGGCATCTCTAGAAGCCTTTCCCAAGGCTCCCATCATAGCTTGCTTTGCTTCTCTCATCCCCAGGCTTTGTATCATAGTAATAATAACAATTCCTTATCACATATGACAAACGAGGCATGTGAATATATACAAACATATATATGTGTGTGTGTACTTATATATGTATATAATCGTATTTCATTCTCAAAACAACTCATTAGAGAAGTGCTATTGCTTTTCTCATTTTATAGGTGAGGAAATCAGAGAAAGGAGGGGTTAAGTATATTCCCCCAAGTTATCTTGATTCAAAAGCTAGCAGAGGGGGGAAAAACCCAAAATATCACAACTGCCATGTCTAGTTGACTGCCCAGAGGACCACTGCATCCCCCACGTCTAATACGCACTAGGCACCTCCGTGAATTAGTGCTGCATAAATGAATGAACCCATGTTTCTGTGCTATCTTGTGAGCTAAGAGTGTGCTTGAGTTCATTTGACATCGCAAACACCACACTACCAGAAACGAGGGAGTTATTCAATAGTGACTTGAAATTGGATGCTTGGAAACGACAGCATTTTACAGTGATAGTGTGCCAAGGTGACCAGTGGGGAAAATTTCCAGCAACATAATTACCTTTCAGCCATGAGTATTTGCAAGCTGCAATGTTTGTCGCCTGGTTCCACGTGAGAGTGTCACTATGCTAGAGGAGGCCCAGTGCGCCAGCAGCCAGCCACTGCGTGACTGCTCTGCGTGCTTGCAGAGGTGAATGGCTGCATTGGAAGGGAGAGGTGAATAAGACTCAGAACAACTTGCTTCCCCAACTCCCTGCAGTTTTCCTGCTTCATCCATAAATGAATAAGGTCTGCGAGAAGCTGCTTGAATATCAAAACCAGACGGCGGTACAGACAAGTGCCTGAGTTTCCCCTCTCTCTGCGTGGCTACTCACCTCCAGTGCAGATTTATCGTGGATATCCTTTACATCCAAAATCTGAGAATGAAACTCAATCCGTGTTTTTCTCATTGTGCACGTGGCTGTCCAGCGGCGGCCTCTCCAGAGCCATTTTCCTGCATGAATTCCTCCTCCTACTCATGCTTGGGCCGTCACGGCACTGGTTCCAGCAGACGCCGGATGTGTAGGTGTTGCCTTTGCCATAGACCTTTCCATGAGATCTGTAGAATGGACATCCTTGCTTTTGTTCGCATCTGAGATGGTGTGCCAGTAAGTGGCTCAGCAATCCCTCTGAATTTCCACTCTTCTCACTTTTCCCTGCCCCAGCTTGAAATGGAAGTGCTTAGTGAGATAAAGGGAGAGGGGAATGGGAGAGAGAAGTGTAAAGTAGGGAAAGTGATCCAATGAAGCATTCTTTCAAAGTCCGTCTTCCTTGAAAGATTTGCCCCAACCCACTGTTGGAGATTATCCAGGCACCCTGCAGTTGGTCTTTTATAATGCAGCTGGGGAAGCCTTGGAGAAGGACTGCAGACACTGTAAGTGATAGAGGACTAAATAATCAATGCTGGAAATATTGGCTTGAGAGAGCTACGTGGGGCTCAAATCCACTGAAAAGGCTTTTTTTTTTTTTTTCATTAAATGCATGCACGTTGCATGTTCCACGAAGCATCTGCAGTTGAAAAGCCAAAAACTAGAAGTTGCGTTTCTCTAGACACAAGAGGGCGCTGTTGTCAACATAGTGTGTTTCTCACCCTTGGACTTAGCTACTCAAGATTGCAAAAATGAAAAACAAGTATAGAAAGAAAGTGGCAATTACATAGCAGTACTCATCTCTCAGGGTATAAGGATGAAGAGAACTGCCTAATAGGCTCGGGCTGACATTGTTGCATTGCGGTGTCTCCCCACCCGCCCCAATTCCCTGAGAATCCCCACAGAGGAAATGGCTGCAGGTAGAATCAGTAATAGGTCTATTTTAAGGACAACACGTAGGAAACTCAAATTCCCTGTGCAGTTCTGAGGGATATAATCCTTCCTTCTTACTTGCTCACAAATCTTGATGTTGCTCCAATGCCCTATGTTAACCCTGGGTCAGTGGCCATTTGGGGAGTGAACCAGCAGATGGAACATCTCTTTCTGTGTGTGTGTGTTTCAGTTTTTCCTCCTGTCTGTAAAACTTTCAAATAAATAAATAGATCTTTTTTTTTAAGATTTATTTTTATTATTTTGTTTATTGGAAAGGCGGATATACAGGGAGGAGAGATAGAGAGGAAGATCTTCCATCCATTGATTCACTCCTCAAGTGAGCGCAACGGCTGATACTATGCCAATCCGAAGCCAGGAGCCTCCTCTGGGTCTCCCACGCGGGTGCAGGGTCCCAAAGCTTTGGGCTGTCCTCGACTGCTTTCCCAGGCCACTGGCAGGAGCTGGAAGGGAAGTGGGGCTGCCGGGATTAGAACCGGCACCCATATGGGATCCCGGGCGTGCAAGGTGAGGACCTTAACCACTGTGCCACCGTGCCGGGCCCAATAGATCTTTTTTAAAAAAAAAAAAAACCTAAAGGGCACTTTAAAAGGAAAAAAAAAACCCACAAAAACGCTTCTTAATCTCATTACTTACT